CTGACTGGGCGGTGTCTGTTTGTATGCTTGTCTGTCTGTCTGTCTATATGGCTGTGATCTCATTGTTTGACTTACTTATATAATAGAATCTTCTTTACTTACAGGTACAAAGGATGGATCTGATAGACGACGTTGGAACATCAGAGAGACATGCTCTTTCAGATGTAGTTCATCTCCACTCAGCGCGCTTCCTGTCAGTGTGTGCTCTCTGGGGGAACTCTCTTCTCGGGGGGCAACTCGGAGCAGACTGCCCAGGTCACAAGATGTGTGTGTGTGGAGGGATGACTCTTCATTATCGATGCCAGACAGCTCAATAGGGTTACTAGACTGTTTGATGATGTGTTCAAAATCTGCGTACTCGTGGATGGGTGATCTCTGATTGTTCTCATTTTTGGCGTATTTTCCTCTAGACGTGCACCCTGCTGTCTCCTTGGGAACTGACTGACAACGGGAGCTCACAAATGTTCTGTGTGTTCTGGGAGATAAACGTGTGTGATCTGGTAGGCACGTTGCTTTCCCTCCCCTTATTTTAGAACTGAGTATGTCCAATGAGTTCCTGTCACATACCGGCTCATCTTTCCCGTCAGATCTTACTATTTCTTCTTGATTCAGAGAACAGTCTTTGTGGATTTCTGCATGAACAATATAATGGTTTTTTATCGTGGTGATGTCCACTGGTTTGTCAAAAGGAGGTGTCCTGGCTTCAAATTCAGGAGTATTACATACTCCCTCTTTCCTCTCAGTGGGCAAATCTCTCGCCCCTGCTCTTTTGAAGTTGAACTCCCCATCACATGTCCAGGTGTCGACACTGATGACGCCAGAAAGCTGATTTCGCTGTTTTCTTCGGGATATACACACTATAGGTGGGTTCTGTCGTGAAATCTCTCCTGCATGATACAGCTCGTTATCTAGAGCCAAAGTTGGCGGGATCACAACAGCTTTTCGCCTCTGTTTGTTTCCATCTGGCTTCTTGGTTCTATTGGGCAAGTCTGTAGTTTGTGGCGATGATTTGAGGTGAAACATTTCAGTTGCTGATGTCTTTTTCTGGTGAATCATATCAATGGTTGGCGTTCTGCCCGGATTCACTCCAGTCTGTAACTGACTTTGTAGTTTAGAATTAAGCAGAATATCACTGTCACTTTTTCGTCTGATGTGATTGTTGTATTTCATGGGTTGTGTGGAAGAAACGGTGTCTGACAAATTAGGTAGTGACTGATGCCAGTATGTTTTACTTATATCCTTATGTTTCTGGCATGTTGCTTCAGAATTAAATACATCGACATGTCCTAGTTTAGGCTGTAGTCTTCGTTCAGCACATACACCCTTTGTGAGCATTGAAACAGTATTTTCATCTCTGTCGCATTTTGTCTCCAAATAAGAGCTTCTTTTATCGTTGACAGCCAGGTCATCTTCCAGAAAAACGTCATCTAGCAAAGACTCTGACAACGCCTCTCTAAAACCAGTTGACAATTTTGTCATCGATGTGGCCTCAATCCAGGATCTGCTACCACAAGAAACTGTTCTAGATGGCAAGGTCGTGGTGGATTCCCCGCTGGAGACGCTCCCCTTCTTCTGGCTGCAGTACCCAGAGTCTTCTGACACGGACTTGTAGCAGACTAAAGGGACTTCAGGGTAGAGGGCGCATACAGTCCGGCCATATCCTAAAGTCTCAGAAGCAGTCGCTGACCGCTGGTCTGCTGCCAGTGTCCGGTCTTCGTCTACACAAAAAGTGACGTCTTCGTCCGCCTGGAAGGTTCAACAATAGATTAATTAGTGTGCAGCCGGACATGTGAATTCAGATAGACAGAGAGACTTAAGACAAACAGGCGAAATCATGGACATACATATTGACAGATGGACTACAGATAGACAAACATAGCAACAGACACAGAGAAGGATGAATAAACAGATATACAGATGATCACTGAGATAGATGATCGACTGGCAGATAAACAGACTTAGAATAATAACAGACAAGCTGGCAGACAGACATGTGGACGGACTATAGATCAGGTGGGCGGGCAGACAGACAGACAGACATTATCATTGTCTTGTTGCTGGTAATTAACACCGTAGGCTAAACGTGTGCACCTGGATGTGTGAGTGTGTAGGTGTCAGGGGCACTGACAAGAAAAGTGGGCGCGTTGCGGGGGGGGGGGGGTGGGGGGAGTGTATGGCAGAGTGAGATGCAAGTCCCCGTTGCAACTTTTTCAAGGGATTGGGTAGATGCACTCCAGAGGCCTAAGCTTGTTCCAGGGGATAATAATACTAATGATAATGATATTAACAATAATATACTGAAAGTGTGTGTGTACACACACACACACACACACCATACATCTATACTATAACAACAAATCCAAGTGCATGTCTGTCCTTATCTGACACAAGTACTCCTCCCAAAGGGTGGACACTAGCGACGTGGCACGTGAAGAAGGCATTCTGACTGTCATCTCTAGTGTAATGATGTTATTTTCAATATGTTTATAAGCAAACTGACGCAACAATCACTAGCCATGACAGTGCGCTGGATTATTTGCATGAGTACATGTATATTCTTACGCCCCTTCAGGAAAGAGTTATCTCCCATCATACAGGAATTGTGGACAGTAACCGTATTCGTTCAGCAGTGGTGTAGTTGCTAGACCAGCGTTTCTCAAAGTGGGGGTTACGGCCCTGCTGATTTGATTTGAGGCAGGCTCGAGAGGATGGTATCTTCGTAGGTAAAATTTGAGGGGGGGGGGGGAGTAGAATGTCCTGGGGGTGGTAGGATCTTCAAATTGCTTTGAGAGACTATGAATGAATATAATGCGCCGGTGTCGACTAGAAAGAAGTAGAAGAAAAGACAACAACATAGTAATTAACTCTCCAGATCGAAGCCAGGTATTAAATCTGATGTCTGTGTGTATGTGTTTGTGTGCATGTGTTTGTGTGTGTCTATGTGTGCCTATGTGTGTATGTGTGCATGTGTTTGTGTGTGCCTATGTGCCCCTATGTGTGTATGTGTGCGTGTGGTTGTGTATTCCTATGTGTGTATGTATGCATGTGTTTGTGTGTGCCTATGTGCGCCTATGTTTGTATGTATGCATGTGTTTGTGTGTGCCTATGTGCGCCTATGTTTGTATGTATGCATGTGTTTGTGTGTGCCTATGTGCGCCTATGTTTGTATGCATGCATGTGTTTGTGTGTGCCTATGTGCGCCTATGTTTGTATGTATGCATGTGTTTGTGTGTGCCTATGTGCGCCTATGTGTGTATGTATGCATGTGTTTGTGTGTCCTTATGTGCCCCTATGTGTGCGTGTGTTTGTGTGTGCCTATGTGCCCCTATATGTGTATGTGTGCGTGTGTTTATGTGCCCCTATGTGTGTATGTGTGCGTGTGTTTATGTTCCCCTATGTTTGTATGTGTGCGTGTGTTTGTGTGTGCCTATGTGCCCCTATGTGTGTATGTATGTGTGTGTGTGTGCCTATGCGCCCCTATGTGTGCATGTGTTTGTGTGTGCCTATGTGCGCCTATGTGTGTATGTATGCGTGTGTTTGTGTGTGCCTATGTGCCCTATGTGTGTATGTGTGCGTGTGTTTGTGTGTGCCTATGCGCCCCTAAGTGTGTATGTGTGCGTGTATTTGTGTACCCCTATGTGTGTATGTGTGCGTGTGTTTGTGTGTGCCTATGTGCGCCTATGTGTGTATGTATGCATGTGTTTGTGTGTGCCTATGTGCCCCTATGTGTGAATGTGTGCATATGTTTGTGTGTGCCTACGTGCGCCTATGTGTGTATGGGTGCGTGTGTTTGTGTGTGCCTATGTGCGCCTATGTGTGTATGTATTAATGTGTTTGTGTGTGCCTATGTGCGCCTATGTGTGTATGTGTGCATGTGTTTGTGTGTTCCTATGTGCCCTTATGTGTGTATGTGTGCGTGTGTTTATGTGCCCCTATGTGTGCATGTGTGCGTGTGTTTGTGTGTGCCTATGTGCCCCTATGTGTGTATGTGTGCGTGTGTTTATGTGCCCCTATGTGTGTATGTGTGCGTGTGTTTGTGTGTGCCTATGTGCCCCTATGTGTGTGTGTGTGTGTTTGTGTGTGCGTATGTGCCCCTATGTGTGTATGTATGCATGTGTTTGTGTGTGCCTATGTGCCCCTGTGTGTGTATGTGTGCGTGTGTTTATGTGCCCCTATGTGTGTATGTGTGCGTGTTTGTGTGTGCCTATGTACCTCTATGTGTTTATGAATGCGTGTGTTTGTGTGTGCCTATGTGCCCCTATGTGTGTATGTGTGCGTTTGTTTGTGTGTGTCTATGTGCTCCTATGTGTGCTTCCAAATGTATAAACAAAACTTTAAAATGGCTTCTTTAGGGGAGGAGGTGGTTAGTTCAGTTGCAACTGTTTTGGGGCCGAGGGTGGGGTGAAGATAGGGTCTCGAACACTAAAGTTGCTGTACCCCTAGTAGGTGTGCGTATTTGTGTGTGTGTCATTCCATTCCTGCAGTTTCCTTGCCGTATTTTGTGTTCCTTCATTTTTCCCTACCATCGACGCTTGGCTCCAGTATTCCAGCTCTCTCATGTGAAACCCAACCCCAGCCCCTAATTACAATATGCTCAGAAGAGGGCCATAGACAGGTACAATAAAACAGCATCTCATTTTCTTCATGTTCTTCGCTGTAAACTCTAGCAGAAAGTTCTGACTGTTCGTCCACTTCTTGAACTTAGATCTTGTTCCAGACCTTCAGTATTGCATGCACATCTGGCTTATTTGTATGCAGACTGTTGGTTCATTGCATCTCAGGCAGATGCACTCGGACTTCGAAGGAAAGCTTCCCGGCTCAGTGATTACTACTGCACTAGTGAGGGTCTGCATCCCCTTGCTGCAGAAATCGACGTTTTGACACAGTTGTTTTTTGCCGCCCTTAGAGGCAACATGGACGCGAACGACAATAGTGAAACATGGGTGCACATAACGTGGTTGGGAAATTTAAAGATTAAAAAAAAATGTGTATTGGCTAACCGTGTAGTTATGTAGGTCAAGAGCAAGCTTCCCAGCCAAGTGGTCAGTCTCGCTGGTGTCTTTAATCATCGCTTGTAGCCACTGGGACAGAAGGCTGAAAGTGGGACGGTCGTTGGGGTTTGTCTGCCAGCACTGCATCATCATTTCATAGCTGAATGAGGAGAAGAACAAGACAGAGTGAGCATGAACTGGACATGTGCCTGGCAGATTCATAGACTCACACCATGTAGAGGACCCTTCTCTTCGCCAGTAGGTCTAATAGGCATATTGGCTATCTTCCGAATAACGGTCCCAAATTATCGAGGCAGAAAATATACCCTAACAGGACCTCAGTCACGTGTCAATTGCGCACTTCCGGGGACTATACCGCCACCGCCGAATTGCGAGAATTTCCGGGGACTATACCGCCACAGCCGAATGTATCCCTCACGCCGCTAACGCGGCGTGGATTGGGGCTAAACTAGATGGCTGGGACTCACGAGCAAATAAAATGAAGGCAGCTGCAGGAAATGTGGTAGCTGCTGCTCGTGAGTTCCAGCCATCTAGTTGAGCGGCGTGGGGGATACTCTCGCTGGTGGCGGAAGTCGCCGGAAGTGCGCAATTTAAGTCGCCGGAATAGCGCAATTGACACGTGACTGAGGCCCTGTTAGGGTATATTTTCTGCCTCGATAATTTGGGACCGTTATTCAAAAGATAGCCGGCATATCTCACTCTTCTTCTTTGTTCTCCAGCTGTAAACTCCAGCTGTAAACTGCAGCTGAAAGTCTCAGTTGTTCGTTCATTTGGACTTTGGCTTTGTTGCAATGGCCTAAGTTTTGGGTGTACATCTATTATACTGGCACTTTCGAGTGCAGTTGTTTGTTGCCGCTCGGGCAGATGCATTCAGTTTAAAATGAAGCTGCCAGCTAGTCGACTCTTGCGACATGTTTGTTGGTGAGGCAGTGGGTCTATTCTTATTTACCATACAATGGGACCTGAACCCATACGACGAGTACTGGGTATATTGGGTTAGACCTCTGTTTTATAGAACAATCGTCACCTGATTGGTGCTGTTGTCAACTTCACTCTAGCCGCCTTTACTTCCCAGACAGGACGTCATTTAGTACCTATTTATGGCTGAGTCGACGTGAGAGCCACGGTCATATTTGAATCCACAACCATCAGATCAACAGGCCAGCGTCTAGCCGCTACATCACAACGGCTACCCAGGTAGTATGTAGCTATGTACACAAACTAAAGTTTGTTTCGTTTACACACATTCAAGTTTGTCTTTTTTTTTTCTTCTTGGTGGTTCTTTAAAGGGATCTAACTTAAGTTGGTTACTTTGTAACAGAGTTGCTGTTCTTGAACTCTTATGGTCCCGCCCCCCCCCCCTTTTTTTTCCGGCCGTGAATAGACATTTTATTTTTTTAATTTGTGTGTGTGTATATACATATATATATGTTCAAAAAAAAAGTATTTATTTTTATTCGGAAAATAAAAATAGTATTATCAATAACAATCATATAATAAATAGTAAGTATTATTATCATGCAGTTAAACAACGTAGACTTCTAGTAATTTTCCCTGGTCTATGGGTAGTAAGATCGGACGCCCGTGTGTAATGATGCGCATATTTAAAAAAAAACCATTTGTAGTTGGAAATCGAAAAGAATAGCCTAACGGCGCTGCCCAGGCAAAATTTGGGGTTTGAAACTTACCCAAAGTATTTCAGGATCCTCGCCGGAGCTGGCACACTGCACTGAGATTCTTCGGACTCGGAATTCAGTCACATGTAGAATGCAGCACTTATGGGTTACCACCCTTGTGCCATGATGTTGATCCATTGTATAAAACCCTAAATCGTAACTCACCGTGTGCCACACTCAGTCGATGACGTTTCACAGCTCAGGCAAGAAGAAGACAAGCGGAGAGACACCAAGTAGGTCACCAAACAACACATTTACACGTTAGCAAAACTTGTAAACATCCAGAAATATAGGAAGTGTCTGTGGAAAACATCGGCGCGACACGCATGAGGAATGGCGGCTGGCGACGGCTACACGAGAATGTAAGGCTGTAGATATAAACTATCCTTGTGACTGAACAGGCCCTCGCTGCAGTCTCGGTGTTTCTTTCTGCAGCAACTGACACTGAGTGGTACAGTCCACAAGAGTAGACACAAAATATATCACAGTAAGTCAAATAGTAGACGGCACGTCTCGCAACATTCAGAGAATTAACTGTGTGGCGCTAAACTTTTCCAATGGACACTCGAGGACGTATCCAGGACTCTCATAATCGACACTCGACACCCGGAGACACTCGACTCACACATGGACAATCGACACCCGGGGACACTCGACTCACACATGGACAATCGACACCCGAGGACACTCGACTCACACATGGACAATCGACAACCGGGGACACTCGACTCACACATGGAAAATCGACACCCGGGGACACTCGACTCACACATGGACTGTCGACACCCGGCAACACTCGACTCACACATAGACAATTGACACCCGGGGACACTCGACTCACACAAGGACTATCGACACTGGAGAGGGATGAGAATGATACCGGCGCATTTAATGTGGGCTCTGAAAAAAAGCATATAAACAGGACATCAGTGGTAGGCGTGAGTTTTATGAGGATTGCACCGTGAGTCTCATGGTGATAGCACCGTGAGTCTCACCAGAGACATCTGCCATCACCAGGGCCTGTGATTCCAACCCCTCACTATAGCACAAACTAATTTTTCTCCTGTGGGTTCCGGGCCCCCATTGTGGGTAAAACAAGAACAGACCCACGGTCTCCCCAAACAAGGGTGTCGTAGGTCCGACTGATTGGGAGCTTTCTTCGAAGTCAAAGTGTATCTGCCCTAACGGCAAGGAACCACCAATTGCACATAAATAACCTAGTAAAACGGATGCACACACCAAGCTCAGGCCCCTGGAACAAAGCCAAAGTCCGAATGGACAAACAACCAGGACTTTCTTTCAGAGTTTACAATGAAAACAGAAGAAGGCAAACTAACATTCACGTCCAAAAAGAGGAAAAGGTGCCAGAAAATGTGAGAGTGCAAGGCCAGCGACCTGGCTTGGACAGTTCTTGCAAGGCCAGCGACCTGGCTTGGACAGTTCTTGCAAGGCCAGCGACCTGAACTGGACAGTTCTTGCAAGGCCAGCGACCTGAACTGGACAGTTCTTGCAAGGGGCATGTGATATTACAAGAAAAGTAACGCTTCTTTGGTATGACTGCACAGAATCAGGTCAGCGGTTGACAACTACAGTGTTCCGGTCTGCAGATTTGAACTTTCAACTTTTGCTCTCCCCGGGTGAATGAAAGCAGAAACTGTTCTACTTAGTGCTGTCATAACTAAGCTTTGATGTGACAGCGGGGGGAAATTTATCACGACAGGTGGCTGCGTCATCCTCCAGGCGGCAACAGTGAGGTATCATCACGGACTGAGGAGGTGGCCAGGTATCATCTTGTGAGGAATACAAAACTCAACGTTTAGGAATGTTTGAAATGTTTTCTCTCGTCCTGGCCATATATGTATTTGTCTGCCCAGCTATGCGACTGTACATTTCTATGAACTATCTATCTATCTATCTATCTATCTATCTATCTATCTATCTATCTATCTATCTATCTATCTATCTATCTATCTATCTATCTATCTATCTATCTATCTATCTATCTATCTATCTATCTATCTATTATCTATCTATCTATCTATCTATCTATCTATCTATCTATCTATCTATCTATCTATCTATCTATCTATCTATCTATCTATCTATCTATCTATCTATCTATCTATCTATCTATCTATCTATCTATCTATCTAATCTATCTAATCTATCTAATCTATCTATCTATCTATCTATCTATCTATCTATCTATCTATCTATCTATCTATCTATCTATCTATCTATCTATCTATCTATCTATCTATCTATCTATCTATCTATCTATCTATCTATCTATCTATCTATCTATCTATCTATCTATCTATCTATCTATCTAATCTATCTATCTAATCTATCTATCTAATCTATCTATCTAATCTATCTATCTAATCTATCTATCTAATCTATCTATCTAATCTATCTATCTAATCTATCTATCTAATCTATCTAACCTATCTATCTAACCTATCTATCTAACCTATCTATCTATCTATCTATCTATCTATCTATCTATCTATCTATCTATCTATCTATCTATCTATCTATCTATCTATCTATCTATCTATCTATCTATCTATCTATCTATCTATCTATCTATCTATCTATCTATCTATCTATCTGTCTATCTATCTGTCTATCTATCTGTCTATCTATCTGTCTATCTGTCTGTCTATCTGTCTATCTATCTATCTATCTATCTATCTATCTATCTATCTATCTATCTATCTATCTATCTATCTATCTATCTATCTATCTATCTATCTATCTATCTATCTATCTATCTATCTATCTATCTATCTATCTATCTATCTATCTATCTATCTATCTATCTATCTATCTATCTATCTATCTATCTATCTATCTATCTATCTATCTATCTATCTATCTATCTATCTATCTATCTATCTATCTATCTATCTATCTATCTATCTATCTATCTATCTATCTATCTATCTATCTATCTAATCTATCTATCTATCTAATCTATCTATCTAATCTATCTATCTATCTAATCTATCTATCTGACCTATCTATCTAACCTATCTATCTAACCTATCTATCTAACCTATCTATCTAACTATCTATCTATCTATCTATCTATCTATCTATCTATCTATCTATCTATCTATCTATCTATCTATCTATCTATCTATCTATCTATCTATCTATCTATCTATCTATCTATCTATCTATCTATCTATCTATCTATCTATCTATCTATCTATCTATCTATCTATCTATCTATCTATCTATATATCTATCTATCTATCTATCTATCTATCTATCTATCTATCTATCTATCTATCTATCTATCTATCTATCTATCTATCTATCTATCTATCTATCTATCTATCTAATCTAATCTATCTATCTAACTAATCTAATCTAATCTATCTTTCTATCTAATCTATCTATCTATCTATCTAATCTATCTATCTATCTATCTATCTATCTATCTATCTATCTA